ATTCCACAACAATCCAAACTCATGCAAATAATTTTACATTTGCGTATGATTTTAAAATATTTTTAAATCAACATTCTATTTATTTAATAAAAAATAAAGCCTTAAATGCTGATTTAATTAACCATAATAGTAATACTTATAATGCTATACTTAAATTTAGGATTGCGAAGTGGTCATACAAGATACTGATGATCCTATATATTTGATGATTACTAAGAACGAAACAAAGTAACTGATACTTGGATATAATGTATGAGTAACTACTCGGTACATGAAAAAGTAATCTTTGTACATCAGTAATCTATGCTAAGGTCGATAATAACTATTAGTCATGATCATAGATAATAGATATACAAATGACAAATGTCAAAGAAATTTTGTCTTGTAGTGAAAAAAAAACGAAGTGTCCTTAAAAATTTAGTGATTTGTAATTGTATTGTTGAAATATATTGCTTTCTAAAACATGCAAGTATGGGTAGCTGTCCAGGATGGGTAAAAAACGTCAACATAGAAAGCAAGATTGAACATGTTCATCTAATGGCGCCTCAAGTAAGGGTTCATAATAGTTAATCCCATATAAAAGTATTTACCTGCGAAAGAACTGTTAAAAGCAGTTTTAACAATAAGTAGTGAATGGTATTTTCAATTATCGGTTTTGATTAATATAAATGGTTGGTGTGTTAAACCAAAAATTATCTAGTGTTCATGCTTTAATTTAAACATTGCATGAATTTATTATCTCAATCGGCGGGTAATATATTTTAATAGGTTTGATATATCTGAAACAATGCATACTTATGAATATTTATCTTTTCAGGTTGTTTTTAAGATATAAATGGCCAGCAAAGTGGGTACTGTTAATGTTTATCATCATTTTAATTGTTTTTATATATTCATTGTTTACGATTTTTAGTCTAATATCTTCTTAATATTCTTTTCGTTCAATAAAGTCTTTATCTCTACATTCTATATATTGGTTGGAAAGGCTGATAGTTTCGAATGAATGAGGTTAATTGTTTATTGGTTGGGTAGACTCATAGGTAATACATAATCAGACTGTAAACAGATAATCTGAGAATAAAAAATATATAGACAGTCTGTGTTGGTTTCGCCCCGTGAGCGAACGAAGCGTGTGTATCGAGATTGATACAGAAATATAATTAAAAATAGCATGCTTTCACCCCTAGTGCACTGTTGCCCAGCCAAAATAGCCGTGGTTCCTTCGAGTGGGGTTACTCGCAATTAGGGGTGTTGCGGGCTACTCGAATGACATGATTCTGGTAGCGAGGGTAGCTTCATGTAAGTGCCCCACACCCAGTTATTGAGATGCTAGTCCCTAAAGGGGGCTGGGCGTCTAGGGAAGCCTTACTTATTTTAGGGTGACTCTAACTAGTTGTCGAAGAATAGAAATACGTATAAACAAAACTGGTAATATATTGGATACTTGTACAATCTTATGGTCCAACTGAACTAGGGGGGAAGGCAACCCCCGGTGAGTACATTAATGTTTATTTATTGGTTGTCAGTAACTGTTAGTTTATTTTGGGTCTACCGGAGTATCTGTTTGACCATCCTAAGTGCAGTCAGGATCTGTTTGGGGAAAAGAATCCATGTTATTAGGTGAGACGAATTACACCTGATCACTACTATTTATTGTTTCTTATGTATTATGTATTTATCAACGCCCTGTAAAAATTATCTAGTTAACAGTTCAGAAGTGGGATTCTACCTACACAGCTCTCTTGACTGCACTACGTGATTTTAATATCGTTATCATCAGCCTTCTTTGTGGTTTGTAGTAAACACCCTGTATGTTATTTTAACTTCTTTAGGAAGTATGAAATGTTTCACCGTATGCGAACCAAGCCATTCATTAAAATAAACAAACAAATTCCAGAGTCGTTTTATATAAGTCGATAATTAACTTGCTCGAAAAAAAATGTTTAGGTTACTTATATACCTAGAATGCTGTCGTGATTAAAAAATTTATATTAGTCCTACGAATAGTTCAAGACTGTATCGTTCAGAATAGTGACGTGATATTAGAATTTCGTGCAAGACAAATTCAAAACAAAACTGTGTACANATATGTTGGACGCTGAAATAACCTAATTAGGTCGTATGCAAGCTCAGCGATGGTGCTAACCAAGATTTTATCGAGTATTTCTAGGGGAAGGGTGGCAAGTTATATATATGTATACATATATGTTGGACGCTGAAATAACCTAATTAGGTCGTATGCAAGCTCAGCGATGGTGCTAACCAAGATTTTATCGAGTATTTCTAGGGGAAGGGTGGCAAGTTATATATATGTATACATATATGTTGGACGCTGAAATAACCTAATTAGGTCGTATGCAAGCTCAGCGATGGTGCTAACCAAGATTTTATCGAGTATTTCTAGGGGAAGGGTGGCAAGTTATATATATGTATACATATATGTTGGACGCTGAAATAACCTAATTAGGTCGTATGCAAGCTCAGCGATGGTGCTAACCAAAATTTTATCGAATATATTTATCATAAATCTACTTAATACCCATACAATAACCTCACTTATACATATACATCTCCAAACCTATACATATATGATAGCTGCACCTTTTACAAATTAGAGCAGTTTGTACCTATTTGTAAATTTATTTTAAAAACAACCGCTCAGTGGATATCACCTCTTAAGTGAACGAAACTTAAATTGTAGAAGCGAACTCACAAACGGCAGACTAGACTTAATTGCACCGAAAAAAGCATTAAAACACCTTTCCTTCGACGTTTTCTTGTGAGTTTCTTATAAATACACCTTCTTTAACTAAAACCCGTGCTACAGGAGTTGAATTATTAATGAAAATTGAGATGGCAACTATGAAAATGAAGTTTGAAGTTTGACGTGTGATCTACAAATATTAATTTGCAAAAAAAAGCGTTAAAAAGGTCCTCCCCTTGATTATTTCGTGTAAGTTTTTCATAATTAGGCCATTTTACGTCATTTCCAGCAAAAAAAAGTTGCATTTTCGAAAAAGCCGCGATTCGGAAGTTTTACCGTTTGGCCATCCTAAGTGCAGTCAGGATCTGTTGGGGAAAAGAATCCATGTTATTAGGTGAGACGAATTACACCTGATTACTACTATTTATTGTTTTCTTATGTATTATGTATTTAACAACACCCTGTAAAAATTATCTAGTTAACACATCAGATGCAATACTCTTGATGAGCATAGTGCCTGATTACTGTTATAATTTGTGGTGTGTTTAAAGTACAATATATAAGTAAAAAATTCTGCCAGCTGTTCTATTTTATTTCAACCTGGATTTCAAGGCACATTCTACTATTTTGTTTCCAAAAGTCATATTATTATATTAACTATAACGAAATCTCCTACTGCATAACAGTTAAATAACACCGGTCGTTAAAATAACGACTCACCGCCTATATACTCTCTATGAGTATTTGTTCCTAAACCTGTGTTCTGTGGACATGTTAATGACAAATTTAGACAAATGTCAAAGAAATTCAAAGCCAACGCTACATGTGTTTTGTAGTAAGAAAAACGAAGTGTCCTTAAAAATGTAGCGATTTGCAATTGTATTGTTGAAATATATTGCTTTCTAAAACATGCAAGTATGGGTAGCTGTCCAGGATGGGTAAAAAACGTCAACATAGAAAGCAAGATTGAACATGTTCATCTAATGGCGCCTCAAGTAAGGGTTCATAATAGTTAATCCCATATAAAAGTATTTACCTGCGAAAGAACTGTTAAAAGCAGTTTTAACAATAAGTAGTGAATGGTATTTTCAATTATCGGTTTTGATTAATATAAATGGTTGGTGTGTTAAACCAAAAATTATCTAGTGTTCATGCTTTAATTTAAACATTGCATGAATTTATTATCTCAATCGGCGGGTAATATATTTTAATAGGTTTGATATATCTGAAACAATGCATACTTATGAATATTTATCTTTTCAGGTTGTTTTTAAGATATAAATGGCCAGCAAAGTGGGTACTGTTAATGTTTATCATCATTTTAATTGACGTTCTTCAGTGTAGAAGTTCATACTAGTAGTGAATGTACTACATATTAAGTTCTGTTAAATGCGTGACCTTGATATCCTTTTGTATCAAAAATGTATTTTAAGTGGTGCATTTTGGTAGTTGCAAACTAATCTGCAATTGCCAAATATTGTACACTAATTATTCCTGATTGCATAAGTTTTGATGCATTTATTCATTTTGTCTATATGTTCTCACTAACCTGAAGTAATTTATTGAGTAGATTTTTGGTACCTCAGTCTAAGCAGCTCAGCTATTCTACTTTCTGGCAAATTGTTAAGACTATTTTTTTGTCTCATAGTTTCCCACCTGGGCAATGTTTTGGCACATTTTGTGATCTTTAATATGGAAGTATAATTATACATTTAATTTGTACAACATTCATATAAACAGAAATTGCACATAGGGATGAGGCAAAAAGAATTTTATTGTGTTTGTGTCTTCTGTTAATATATCTCGATTGCATTTGAATATTGGTTGAAAAATAACTTTCAAATGTTGGGCTACTTTTAACCGTAATTTGTTCCTACAGGATGAATGTGCCAGTGGTCAGTCATCCTAAGGCTGCATGAATTTCCTATTTTATATAAAAAGGTATTAACTGGAATGTCCTAAAAATTATGAAATATTTTTAAACTTAAAGAATTAGACTGAATAAATAGTTTTTTCAATATCTAGAATTTATTTTTTTAAAAAATGTGCAGGATACAGTCAGTACAGTGGTATTTTCTGAAATGCCAAAATAACTAAAACCTTAGTAGTATCTGTTGATTATTAGGCCTTAAATAAATAATTAACATATGATTTTGTGATCGAAGTAAGATTTATTTAAAGCACACATGTATTACTCATTTGTATAAAAAACGCATTCGCCTATGTC